ACAAAGTTCTTATTTATCTATAGAAGATCTGCCCAACAAGCCCAATTAATTTTTTAACTCAGACTTGTCAACTGGCCAAAGATCAAGTAGCCAGTATTTACACTGACAGTCACTACACAATGTCAAGGGTATAGCTCCTCACTTTGGAATGTTGTGGAAGCCACGAGGCTTCTTAATTTTCTCAGGGCAGCCCATGAAGAATGGAAAGTAGACTGCAAAATTATTAGATATCATACAAAAATTGAAACAACTGGCACTTATCAAAAGTCCAGGGCTTTGTAAAGCTGCCACCATGGAAGCAAAAGGGAATTTAATGCAGCTAGACAGGCAGCATTAAACACTCAAATTATCCAGACCTGAGAATGTTCCTTGTTTCCCATTAAATCACTAAAAACTCTCTATCACAGTTGCAATGGACAACTACAAAGAAAAGAGAACATGCAAATAAATGGGGGAAACTTTGTCCCAGGCAAAAAGTTATAGCTTGGACCCAATCAGAAAGCAATCTTACCTATAGGAGCTTAAATACCTATACTGTATACTGTATACTATACTTTAACATATACATGAGCTAAAATTAGTTCTAAAAGATAATTTCATGGAGTAAACAATATTACTGGAAACCTTCTCCTACTGTAGCTCATAAAGTATACAGCAAATGTTTTATCTGTCCAAAATAGAACCCAGGAAAACAATTCCATGGGTCCTAAGGACATTTCCCACTTCATTTAGATCCAGATATGATAATTGGATTTTATACAAATGCCACCATCTCAAAAATACAAAAAAATATTAGTTATGATTTTGTATTCCCTTGCAGGAGAGCAACAGCCTTAGGTATATTAATTTAAAAAATTCATTCCCAAATTGGGGAATTCCCTCTGAGTTGAGGGACTCCTTTACTAGACAAACAATGCGATCCATTTGCCTATTCTACAGTGTTTTCATTGTGCCTATCACCCCTAGTTCTCTGGATTGGTAGAACATACAAATGATACAACTGTACCTCAACTAGGTAAATTTTCAGAAGCTTTTAATCTCCCTTGGCCTATATAAAGCTCCCCTTACAGTACTCCTCAACCTGAAATTTATGATAAACAGAGCCTTACTCCTTATGAAACAGTCACCAGTCTCCCTATGAATCTAGATGAAGGGACATATAAATCAACTGTACTAAAAGGAGACAGTCTGCATTGTTATCACGGGCTCATTAACCAGCTTATAGGGACTAATAAATTAGTAACATTTCACAGTATGCTCCTAGGAGATGAAGACTTTCAAAGACCACAATGTACAACCAGGAGATTTTTGTCCATTAGAAAAGACATTGAGCCCTGGCTGGTGTAGCTCAGTGGATTGAGCATGGGCCTGCGAACCACATGATCGAGGTTCAACTCCCAGTCAGGGCACATGCTGGGTTGCACGCCAGTTCCCAGCAGGGGACTCATGAGAGGCAACCATACACTGATGTTTCTCTCCTTCTCTCCTTCCCTTCCCCTCTAAAAATAAATAAATAAATTTAAAAAAAAAAGAAAAAAGAAAAGACATTGAAGACTCTCCAACATTGTTGGAAAGGACCTTATCAGGGGCCTAAATGCAAATGGACATTTGCCCCTGTCCCTGATACTGGCCTCCATGAAAGACTTTTCAAGGATGAAAAGCCACCAACAATGAAGGCAGACAGACATCCCAAGACATCAACAGGCCTGTATGTTCCCAAATTGATGCTGCTATTGAATGAATGTACATAAAATTATTTTCTTTGTTATTATCCTCCTTATGGCTTTCTAATGGAAATAATATCTATCTCCCCCAAACCCCTCTCTTATTAGATATGAAAACTTTTAACTTGGGTACCTGCTAATCTTTCCTATCTACTAGACAGTGATATTCTGATTATCAGTTATGATAATGAAGTTAATGCTTTGTTGGCCACACAGTGGTTTTCTATCAATATAAGTTTTAGTACAATTTTTTCTGGATATATCTCTTATAAAAAATCATCTTGGGAAAATACCTCCAAGAACACCTCCCTGATAATTCCCCTAGTACAATTATATATAGGTCCAATCGAGATGAGTATTGTATAGCTATAGCAACGGATGATGAAAAGCTAAGAAAAATACTTGGATGTGATGGGAAAGGGCTTGCAGTGACCTGCCCTGTCACAGTATATCTTGTCCTCAGACTTGTCAGCCATGCTCTTGTGACTGGCTGTCCATAAAACAAGAAAAAAAATCAATGGGCCCCCCTTTTAAAAAATTATTGGGATTACTTGGTGGATAGATATCTCTATAAATACCCGACCCTCCTATGCTTTTGCATAGGGCATTCCACATGAAGCCCTATGGAATACTGAAACTTTAGCTAATTTGGGAGTTACCTCTACCCATCTAACTATGGCACAAGAAACTCGACATTTTGAGTTCATTCAGTATCTAGCAATAGCTACCCAATGGCAACAACATTCCTGGTGGACCCAACAATATTGGCCCTCTAAAAGAAATAAAAGGAGGATATTTGGAGGACTTGGGGCTAGCCTTGGTGTTCTGAGACAAGCTGAACTTGCAGTTAATGGAGAAAATCCTTCATTAGAAAAAGACTTGATCTAAAATAGGCCATGTAGTGGAAATGCTGTTTCAAGAGGAAGGAAACAGGTGAGAAGCAGCATGGAAAAACAATAAGGCCTTAGCTCAATGGATAGAACAGACTCGATAGACTATAAAAACTCATGCACAAACCCAACAATAAGAACATGCCTGCCCCCTAACTCAGTAGGGCCTAACAGGGCCAATGGTCCGTGTTAATGCCAATGGAATCTGAAGTAGCTATGAAACGGTAGCTGCACTCACATACAATGAGCGCAGAAGCCCAGGCAAGACATTGGTGGGATTCATATGGATCACCTGGATTTTGAAAGATTTTGGATGGGAAATGTTGTGTCTTAAACACCCAGGCACCTCAGTTAGATCCGAAGCATAAATTCTTAGTAGTTCAACTGGCTACAATAGGGACCACCCTCGACAACACTAAAATACTTCCAATGGGAAGTGGATGGACCATATTTAAAAATAATAAACAATGGGAACCCATTTGACTATCTAATTGTGAAAATCAGAAAGGTGAATGGTTATGCCCCCAGTCTATCCTAGCCTATCATATATACCCCAACAAACAGCAATATATGGTATGTGGGAAAGGGACATTTTGGATGGGAAAGGTTAGAGAATTCTTCTGTTATACTAAGTGACTTTTATTGTAATAACACCAAGTTTATGTTAAATGCCACTGGAATATGGTATAATACTGAAATTACAGGGCAAATAACTTTTTTTGAGGTTAATAAAACTTGTGATACTATTAATACTGGATATCCAATATATTGGGAAATTGAACTTAATCTCCCCATGAAGTCATTTCTACAGAAACTAATTGGCCAGAAGAAAAATTAGAGCTTCTAGATGAAATAGTAGAAAGTCTTAATTCATATGGCCAAATGTATCATAAGGTACAAATAACAATGAATGAAGGAGGAAAACATGCTATTAGCTTAATAAAAAATTACAATGATACATGTAAATAGGTTTTTTTGTTTGTTTGGCTGGGATGCTTGTTCCCCTCAGACTCTTCCTTGTCTGGTATTAAACACTTTCTGGTCCTAATCAGTGTTACTGGTTTAATACTGTTCCTGATATGTACATGTTACACTAGATGCAGAAAAACAAAAACTTCAGGCAAATGGCAAAAAGACCCAGATTATGGTAGCTCAAGAAAAAAATGAGAAATGATCCAGAATATTTTTAACAAGGACATATAGGATCTGACTGTCTCACATTCACCTGCTTTAAAAAAAATAAATAACTGCAATTCAACCTTAAATGACATCTAAGGTTAAGGTCTCGCCCCATTCCCAGCAGTCCACCCTGTTCAGCAAAACAAAGACCGACTCCGAGACTTCCTAGGAATGAGCGAGCCTTCCTAGCACAGTGGGACCAGCCAAACCATTGATCATCAATGCATCCATCCTTTGGATTGAGTTATGACCAAAAGGGGGCCGTGTGGAAGGAAAGAGGCCACATATTAATCTGACAAGCTCAAGGGAAGCCACTGAGGCAACTTTACAAAGTTGAAGTCCTAAAGTAACCACAAAGGATGGTCTGAAATGAAATCTTTAACTGAAATCAGTTTATGGTGAGTAGTCATATCCTAGGACTGTATTTTTCCCTAATGAAGGTCAATCTTTACTTTAACTGAACTTGTCTGGTGGTTTGTTTTTGTTTTTGTTTTTGTTTTTTTGCATCTATGATAATATAACTTTGGAATGTCAAGTAATGTCTCTTTTTCCACACTGCTTGGGCACAACCACTACACCAGAGCTAAGACTACAAATCCCCTCATTATTATTGTTATCATGTTAATTGTTCACTGTTTTAACTATCCCTAACCCACCTATGAAAAATAAATATGTGTCTACCATTTTACCTTTTATCCAGTCTAAGCGGTCCCTCCATCTTTGCTTTCTCCCACCTCCCTAATCTATCACCAATGGATTTCATGTTCCGCCCCCCCCCTTACAGCTCCTTTTTTATTATAATGTATAAAATAAGGTGCTAAACTGCTCGTCTCTGGAGCACTTCTCAATCCGTTTAGATACTGCTTCCTGGCAATCTTCGTCAGTTTGGCTCAAATGAACTCACCAAAAATTCTCTACCTGTTCGAATGTCTCTTAGTTGACAGTACTGCGCTTTCCAAACCTTTTCCACAATCTCTGTGGTTCCTTTCCAGGCTGCCTTCTTCCTGCGTCTTCCCAATCTCTAGCAGAGGATCCCGGACTCCCTGTTTCCTTCTGCCACCTGGACTCGGTCTGTATCCCTGACCCAGGACACATTCCCTCCCGCGAAAAAGCAAGGCAGGAGGCAACTTTCCCGAATCCACGCCTACAGCCCCACCGAGAGCCCACCCACCCGTAGCCACGCACTCCCCGCGAGCCCAGCACTCACGCGACAAGAGAAAACCTGGAAGGCGCGGGCCTGAGGTCGCAGCCACAGTCAAGGTCCGGAGCGAGGGGCACCGAGGGGCGAACTGGGGCTGCAAGGAAGCGAGCACAGGCCGCGCTGACACCCGCTTCTTATTGCACGCCCTGGGCTGCGGGCGGGGACAGCGCTGGGCGGCGGCCCCTCCCTCTCGCCCTGGCGGTCTGGGGTCCTCGGAGGGCGGAAGGCCTCGCGGGTTCTGGGGGGCGGAGCCTTAGCTCGGAGTGGTGCAGATACCGAGTACCTCACTGGACACGCCGCCGCCCTGGTTGGAGCCCGGGTCTCGGACACGACTGTCCCAGAGCTTCCAAGGCTTGTAGACACTCTGTGTCTAGGCTTGTAGAAATGGACGGTTGACAATGAGCCCTGGTAATCACTGGACCTCAACCCAGAGGATCAATACTTCCTCTGGCCTGAATGGATTTTGTCACTTCTGGTGACCCCAAGCACCAGGGAACGCTGACACCCAGGCTTTTTTTTCCCCCCCAGTTTTACACGTAGCCCATCCAGAGCAAGTAGGCACACTCTGTTGATGAGCTTCTGAGAAATTAGGTTAATGATGCCCAGGGCCAAGGAAACCAGGAATTAAATCTTGGGGAGCAGGGCGGGGTAAGGAGAATGGAGACAAAACTTTTTGAATGAAAATATCACTGGGAACACTTTAAATGCGTTCCTCACATTCCTGTAATAAACACGACGTGTTTATATGGAAAAGTTGGAAAGGGATTGTGCAGTTTCAGGAGAAGCTGTTGGTTTTCAGGCTATTTGAGTGTGTATAGCTATACCGAAATTCATCTGCTGCATCTCCTCTCAGAAGTTAGTCCTTGCATCTAGATAGTTCCTGGTTTGCATTTAAAAACAAAAATTATATCAGTTAAATTGTTTAATGCAACACAAAGAATTACTGTTAATTCTTCACCTTATACAAAAAATTTTAGCCAGGAGACTTAGATAGGAAAATGGATTACACATAATTTTTCCAAATGTTAAAAATACCATACTGTATACCTTTAAAAAAAAGACTTAAAAGTATATATCTATGAAGTACCCAAGCCCTTGGGTGAAACTGTGTTTCTAAGTCAGTTTAAAGACCCTTAAAACCCATATACAAAGTTAGTCATTTTAAGCCAAAGCGGGGAAAAATTCTTCAGAGCTGGCTCTTAACAACTTCGCACAATTGAAAAACACCCTCTAAAGAATAAAACTTTATTGATATTAGTAAAGATGAAATAAATCCAGCAAACTCTGAAGGCAATTCTAAAAGTCGACTTATAAAAATGGAGAAAATACACATGAAATTAGTTTTTTAAAAAGCACATAAAAAACAACAGAATAATAAGCTTACTACAGCACTCTACAATTATATAAAATTAAAAAATTATACAAAAAAAATTCCTGGAAATACAAAAATATTTTTGTTGTTTGGGTGGGAACATTATGATTCTTTTTTTCTAGTTTAGTGTAATTTTATAAATTTTTTTATGACATATTGCAGATATACACCTTTTATAATGGGAAAATGGATTTTGTTTAAAAGTAAAATAAGTTAAAGCCCTGGCTGGTGTAGCTCAGTGGATTGAGTGCAGGCCTGCTAACCAGAGGATCGCTGTTCAATTCCCAGTCAGGGCACATGCTTGGGTTGCAAGCCAGTTCCCTGCAGGCCAGTTCCCAGCAGGGGACACACTAGAGGCAACCATACATTGATGTTTCTCTCCCTCTCTCCTTCCCTTCCCTTCTAAAGATAAATAAATAAATAAATATTTTTTTTAAAAAGTAAAATAAGTTAATAAAATGTCAATGTTTATTTTTAGTCAGTAAAATGTATATATAAAGATATGTAATAATACTTATAGTCTCATCCAAAATACTGCAAAAATCACTAAAACAAACAGCAAAAAACTATTGGCCTTGTTCTGAGTCTAATTTTATATTTAATTTGTTAATTTTTTCATGTATTTTAGTTTATTTGCTAACTAAAGTTATAATTGATCCTAATCCCACCCTAATACTTTCTCAAGCTGATCATTACCATCAAATTCTGTTCGACAAATTTAATTAAAGCCTGTATATTATAAATATATTGCATTGCAAAGCAATGAGTCATTTTAACTTATATGTTACAGTTTTACTTTGGGCTAATTATTTCAAATGCCCTGTTTTATCTTTTAGTGTTTGCGCAATTTAAGTCACAAAATATTAGGCAGGGAAGAACCTAAAGATAACCTCCCTAATTTTACAGATTAGTCACCCAATCCAAAGGAAACCAATTTGCGTAAGATCAAAAGTTAGTAGGATAAATGGGTGACAGATTTACTTGGACCAGGGCCTTCCACCCTCCACCTAATGACCTCTCTGTTATTTTACTGACAAGAGTAACTGCCCACTATTTACAGAGCCCAGTATCGAAACTCCCACTTCTTTTCCATGTAACTAAGCTTTTCTCTCTCTCATATTAAGCAAGAAGAAAACAAAAATCACCTGTAACCATCAGCTACATACCATCAGCTTTAGTCATCACCTTATATTTTCTTAAAAAATAAAAATGGGCCCTGGCTGGTGTAGCTCAGTGGATTGAGCACCGGGCCTGTGAAGCAAAGTGTCGCCTGTTCGATTCCCAATCAGTGCACATGCCTGGGTTGCCGGCCAGGTCCCCACTCGGGGACACATGAGAGGCAGCCACACACTGATGTTTCTCTCCTGCTGTTTCTCCTTCCCTTCCCCTCTCTCTAAAAATAAATAAATAAAATATTTTTAAAAAATAAAATAAAATAATAAAAATGGGCTTATATACAAAGCACAGGGGTGAAGGGCATGATCTCTGAAGTTGCATTGCCTTTGTCTGAACCCTGGCTCTCCCACCCTCCGGAGATTTGAACTTGAACTAGTTACTTAGTCTTTCGGTGATCAGGGGAATCAATCTCTCAAGGTAGCTACAGAGATGAATGAGATGATGTGTGTGTAAAGCACTGAACAGTCATTCTCACTGGTTAGCACTCAATAAATGATAGCTATTATTATTTTGTAAACCATGCAACCATGGTTTCCTGTCATTCAATATCTTGCTACAACTTTAAATTTAATGGTTGCATGGCATTCAGTTGTTTACATATTATAATTAATTTAACCAATCCTCCTATTATTTACAAAACAGCCTTGTAGCTATGACATTGCACACACACACAGATAAATTCAGAAAGAGAATTGCTCTGAAAAAAAGGTTATGCCCATTAAAAAAGTTTTAATACACATATCCAATTGTTTGTGAAAAATAGAAACTTTGTGCTTAACATTCAGTGCCTAACGTGGGGCTAAACTTTGGAGAAGCCAACAGGGATGCTGCTCTGTCAGGTCCAAGTGCGACACCTACATGATCCTCCTGAGGCTCATTGCACTCCCTTTTCAGTCCTTCCAAAGCCTTGGATTTGGGGACCGCTTGCAAGCCCAGGGTTTTTATTGTGCCCGAGGGTATTTCTTCAGGAAAGTTGGTAGGTGGTAGCCCAGAAAGTAGTGAAGGATTATCCCCCTGTGTCAGGACCACTTGGCATGGCAAGTGCAAAGAAGAGAATCACTAGTCCTTTGTCTGACCGGTGATTTTTTGAGCAGGCCCCCTCAATTTTAATGTATCCATATTTTTTCTTTGTCTGAGATAATTGAACTCATGTTGACACCTGGTGGCCATTTCATGTAATTAGTTTGGGGTTTTGCTCCAGACTAAGGCTATTAGCTTAGTTTTGGAAGTTACATGAGGGTTGGCTTTCCACTCTGAAGATTAAGAGAGTAGTGACCCATTGGGAATGGGAACTCATGAAGTAGTACTCTACAGACCAAAACTTCTCAGCCTTGATTGCTTGAAAGCAGTTTAAATTATGCGAAATCAAACACCAAAATTCCCCTGCTTCTCCCCCAAATACCAGCTGTTATGAAGAGAACAATGTAGGGCCGATTTGTGCATTTAAAAAAATCTAAATAGACGAACCTTACTAAAAATGACAACTTAGAAATAATGAGAATTGTTTTCTCTCTTCTAAATTTAGATTGGCAGGAGAAAACATTTGTGAAGCCAGCTTCTTGGGTTTAGCTACTCCTGGGTTTTCTTTATTGAATCTTTCTTCCCAGAGGAGGTTATTTTTTTCCTGCATCCATGTCAGTGTTTGTCAGAAGAAGGAAATGCCATAGGGATGGAACACAGGCACAGACAGCCTGTTTTAGCTGCCTCGGATTAGCGGGTCTGAGACTGGAAACGTCTCCCATTGGATGGAAAGCCAAAGACACATGTGCACTACCTCATTCTGACTTTCTGCTCTTTCTCTGACTTTGGGGGTGATCTTTTGGCTGAGAGTTGTATATTCTTTTGTGGAAGCCTTTCGCTTCCTTGGTCAAACAGTAGACTGTTGGTTCGAGTTGCTGTAAATCCTACCATCAATGCCCAGACAATAGATTCTTTGAATTGGAAAAACTTCCAGATTGAATCTTTTTTCAGAGAACTCTCAAATTGGTATAATGACTTACAGTTAAGACTCCCTTAAAAAAGATCAAAGTACAAAAGTAGAACAAAAATCAAAGTTCACTCAGACCCATTCTTAATTACTTTTAGAGACTTGCAAATATTGTAAAAAACTAGGAAATTGGGCCCTGGCTGGTGTAGCTCAGTGGATTGAGTGTGGGCCTGTGAAGTAGACAATCGTGGTTTGATTCCCCATCAGGGCACATGCCTGGGTTGCAGGCCAGTTCCCAGCAGGGGCCAGTTCCCAGCAGGGGATGCACCAAAAAAGCAACCATACATTGATGTTTCTCTCCTTCTCTCCTTCCCTTCCCCTCTAAAAATAAATGAAAAAAATCTTAAAAAAAAACCCCAGGAAATTGGAAGTACAATTTCCTAGCACTGAAGAAGGGAAAAAAACATAATGGACATTAACAATACAAATTTTAAGCCACTTTCATTTGCTATCCTTCTTAGTTGGGACTTAAAAATTCTAACACAAACATTAATTAAGAAGAGATTAAAAGAAACAGGAAGGAAAACTCAGAGATTTCCCAACTAGGTGGAAATTTTTTAAAGATCTTTGTGATATAAGATTATAAAAACTGGTATATTTGAACAGAATTTATAAGGAACCAGGCTGGTATTCTAACCCAGGCGCCTCCCTTTTAAAAAAAAAGATTTTTAAATTATTTTTAGAGAGAGGAAAAGGGAGGGAGAAGGAGGGAGAGAAACATCGATGTATCGGTTGCCCCTCATATGTGCCCAGGGACGGAATCCACAACCCAGGCATGTCCCCTGACTGGGAATTGAACCAAAGGCCT